TATATATATATATATATATATATATATATATATATATATATATATATATATATATATATATATATATCTACAAATCTAATAAGGAAGAAAATAATATAATAGAGGGTAAATAAGGAAAATCATTAAAAGATACTAAAATCAAAATAATATGAACCATTCATTTTAAGAAATAATTAATACCGACATTTTTTTTGTTCCAGTTAAGGGCCTAACATTATTCGCTCTTATTATATATATATATATATATATATATATATATATATATATATATATATATATATATATATATATATATATATATATATACTAGTTTTTTTACGCGCTTTGCGCGAATGGGATAATGCCCAATGATTATTTTTAAATACGTATTTCAAAGTATATCAACGCAATATTATATCGGAGATGTTCATGCATATGTAAATAAATATTGAATTTGTTTATTTAAATCAGTAATTCAAAATATATAAATGCAATATAATATTTATTGAATTTTCTAATCGATATTTGGTAGTGGTAGTTTTTCCCTCCATGTTTCATACATTGTGAGATGTGTGTCGTAGGTTATCATGTGAAAGTGTTGAACAAAATATTAATATTTATTATATTTGTATAAAATACTTGGTAAATAAATATATATAATGTATTTTGTATTATAACTTTGATATTTAATTACAAGATAATGTAAAAAGAAGACTAAATATAATCTAAATATGTTTTTTTTTTAAATGCATAAAAATCAAATGATTTTTAAAGTTCTTGATTTATAATCTTTGATGCTTAACTTTGAATGTTATGTATTTAGTCAGACTAATCATTTGAACAAAGGTTATGTTAAATTTTATATTATATATATTTTAAATATATTTTAACATATTCGTAGTATATGTTTAACAATTATGCCAACTCTAATTGGGATGTGGTTTGAAACTAAGACTTTTCTTATAGAAATTAATATGTAAGTTAAAATAATAAATACTTAACAGAATATTCCATTACTAAAGTTTATGCTAACGGAGTTTAGGATATTTAAGGGAAGAAAATAATATAATAGAGGGTAAATAAGGAAAATCAATAAAAAAAATACTAAATAAAAATAATATGAATCATTCATTTTAAGAAACAATAGTATAATATGAACCATTCATTTTAAGAAATAATAGGACCGACATTTTTTTGTTCCAGTTAAGGGCCTAATATTATTGACTCTTATTAGAATTGTAGATGTAGATATATATATATATATATATATATATATATATATATATATATATATATATATATATATATATATATATATATATATATATATATATATATATATATATATATATATATATATATATATATATATATATATATATATATATATATACAAATCTAATAAGAGCGAATAATGTTAGGCCCTTAACTGGAACAAAAAAAATGTCGGTATTAATTGTTTCTTAAAATGAATGGTTCATATTATTTTGATTTTAGTATCTTATAATGATTTTCCTTATTTACCATCTATTATATTATTTTCTTCCCTTAAATAACCCTAAATTCCTTTAGTTTAAACTTTAGTAACGGAATATTCCGTTAACTATTTATTATTTTTAACATACTCTTAATTTATATATGGTCTTAGGTTCGAACCTCATCCCAAGTATAGTTGGCATAATTGTTGAACTTATATTATGCATATGTTAAAATGTATTAAAAATATATATAATATAAACTTTGGTCAAATAATTAGCTCGACTAAATACCTAGCTTTCAAAGTTGAGCATCAAAGATTATAAATCATGAACTACTTTAAAATCATTTGATTTTCTTGAATTTTTTATTAAAAAAAAAAAAAGAAATTTAGGTTACTTTTTTTTAATTAATCTTCTTCTGATTATTTAGAACAAAACTTAATATTTCAATTATGCTTTTGCATTATTGGAATGATTTAGGCCATTATGGTATTAATACTTTTTGTATTTTTTTTTATAATGGTACAATTGTACATTACTTTACAAATATTATACTATTATTTTTTTATCAGACAAAATTGTTCTTACATCATTGTCAGACCTGCGCGGCCTAACTACAAAGTTGTTGATTATAAATACAATTAAACATGGACTCTAAAACTTATTCATTATAAAAAAAACTTAAAAGAAATATAATTTCATTAGTTATATTATCTTTATTTTCTACAATTCAAAAATTCCTTACCTTCAAATTTATTAATTTATTATATTCACTACATTGTTCATTGTCTTCTTTTTTACATTATCTTGTAATTAAATATCAAAGTTATAATACAAAAACATGTTTTTATATATATATATATATATATATATATATATATATATATATATATATATATATATATATATATATATATATTTATTTATTTATTTATTTATTTATTTATTTATTTATTTACCAAGTATTTTATACAAATATAATAAATATTAATATTTTGTTCAATACTTTCACATGATAACCTATGACACACATCTCACAACACATGAAACATGTAGGGAAAAAACTACCACTACTAAATATCAATAGGTGTTTGTACGCTAAAGAGTTCATATTACAACTAAAATCTAAGTCATATACACAGCAAGGCAAATCTAAAACTTCCTACACCATAATCTCATTGCATGATGAATCCCTCTATGCTGCTACCAGTAACCTAATTGCACATGACACAGTACCAATAAAAAAAAAAAAAAGGACATGTACTGAAGATGAAAACAATAACAATGCTACCCAAAAGAGAATTAAGAAGAATTAGAGAAATTTAAACCAAAAGTAGTATTTATTTAGAGTATCGTTTTAAGACTAAGTATTTAGACTAGCGTTATTACAAAGTTGCAAACATTTATTTTAGTGACAATTATAATTAATCTCTCATATATTATCTTGCATTTATATACTTTAAATTACCGATTTAAATAAACAAATTCAACATTTATTTACCTATGCATGAACATCTCTTATATAATATTGCATTGATATACTTTGAAATACTTATTTAAAAATAATTATTGGGCATTATCCCATTCGCGCAAAGCGCGTAAAAAAACTAGTATATATATATATATATATATATATATATATATATATATATATATATATATATATATATATATATATATATATATATATATATATATATATCGGATCAAATGCAAAAATTACTTGGGTAAAAAACAAGGTTTTATCTCATTCGTTGATCAAATTAAAATCGACAGTCCAGAATGAAGATAAATTTAAAAAAAAAAAATGCGATGACATTATGGTAAATAACTCGAAGTAAGTTCAGATGGTCTTTGTGTTCGAGTGCACATTTTTCCTTCTTCGAGTGCATATGTCTCAGAACATAGTTTTTCCTTTGAGTGTACATCTTTGTACCTTTGAGTGCACAAATTTGGCCTTCGAGTGCACATTTATGTGCCTTCAAGTGCATTATTATTATGGACAGTGTTTATTATGTCTTTTGTCTTTTTTGCAACAATGTATAAGTAAATTTCTAATTAAATTTGTGAAATTTACAAACGATTTGTATGGGTAATTGCTTCAATAACATTTAAGTTCAATAACTTTCCTTTATTGTACCATAAATTGCTTCGATTGCACATATTTATGCCTTCGAGTGCATAATTCTGGCCTTCAAGTGCACATTTCTGTTGCTTCAAGTGCACAGTTTTATGCCTTCGAGTGCATAATTCTGGCTTTCAAGTGCACAGTTTTGTATAGAATTTGCTTAAAGTATAGAAAGTGATCGACGCACCTCTTTAAACATACGCACATTAAGCTATAAACTTAAGCATTTTAAGTTTTAGATTTAAGCACCTTAAACTTTAAACTTAAGCACCTAACGCTATAAACTTACGCACCTTAAGCTGTGACCTTACGCACAATGACTATAATGTCACTACATTTTTTTAATTATTCTCTATTCTAGGTTGTTGATTTTGGCAAAATCAAAGACTGTGAGAAGTTTCGCACCTGATCCCTTGTGTATATATATGTATGTGTGCGCGCACGAGAAACAAGGATACACCTTACATATAATCATATATACCTGCAAACACAGTAAAGAACATACTAGAGAGATTTTTTTTTTTATATTTTTTTTAATAAACAAGTCCTAGCCCTCGGGTTGGCCCGCAACCCCCTTCACGGCTAGGCCCATATTTTTGCAAGCTACATCTTTTTTTACCCTAACCCGTCTCATTGCGGGGCAGGTGCGGGCTAGACCGCTGGCTTCCGCCCTTTTGACACTCCTAGGGGTGTTAGCGAACAGAGCTTTCGGCAAACTACTCGTGTTCGTGTTCGGTAAGCGTTCGTTTATGTTCGTTTGTTAAGGTAAACGAACATTAACAAACAAAATTTAGAGCTCGGTTAATAAGCGAACAGAACTTGAACAGTTGTAACCTCGTTTGTTAAAAGATCGTGAACAAACTCGTTTGTGTTCGTTTACTAATGTTCGTGAACAAGTTCGTTTATGTTCGTTTAATAATGTTCGTGAACAAGCTCGTTTGTGTTCGTTTAATAATGTTTGCGAACATGTTTACTGATTATTGTTCACGAACGAATTGTGATCATGAACATGTGCAGGTGTTTGTTTATTAAGTGTTCATGAACGTAAATAAATATGTTCGTGAACGTGCTCTTTAATGAACATGTTTGTTAACGTTAATGAACACGTTCGCGAACGTTAACAAACACGTTCATGAACGTTAATAAACGCGTTCACGAACATGTTCGTGAACGTGTTCGCGAACGTTAACGAACACTAATAAACGCTTAACAAACGAACACGAACACTCCAAATTTCTTAACAAACGAACACGAACAACCTCCATTCGTTTATGTTCAATTCGTTAACAGCCCTAAATACTCCGTATTTATTATTAAAAAAAAAAAAATTGATATTTACCTTAAAGGTAAGTATTCTATAAATATTGAAACTAGTGTGAATAGGGGTTAAGTCCTTTATAGGAAAGAACACTTGTCATCACCTCCACTAAACCTTCAAAAACAGAAAGAAAAAATGGACCCAGACGCCTTCTCTTCAAGCTTGTTCAAATGGGAACCAAGAGCCGCAATGCCCCCACCAAGCAGGCTCCTAGAAGCCGCCGCCGCGTCGGCGCATCCGCCGCCCCAGCTCCATGCAGCGGCGGTGGCTTCCGCCGCCTCCTACTCCGTGCGGACGCGGCCGGAGCTGGGGCTAGGAGGGCTAGAAGAGCTGTTCCAAGCTTACGGCATCAGATACTACACCGCCGCCAAGATTGCCGAGCTGGGCTTCACCGTGAACACGCTGCTGGACATGAAGGAAGACGAGATTGACGACATGATGACCAGCCTGTCCCACATCTTCCGGTGGGACCTGCTGGTCGGCGAGCGCTACGGCATCAAAGCCGCCGTCCGGGCCGAGCGCCGACGCCTCGAGGAGGAGGACTTGCGGCGGCGCCACCTCCTCTCCGGCGACGGCACCAACGCCCTCGATGCTCTCTCTCAAGAAGGTCTCATCTTTACAATAATACTCCAATCTAATCGCTAAACTTTCACGTTCATAAATTTCATGCAGACTATATTTATATCTAACAACTGTTTCATTGAGCAACAACAACTTACTTTAATCTTTAGACCGGATAATAATGTTGTGTGCTCGATCTCTTAGTTATAAGATATCTGTAACCTTAAACTCCACAAATAATGTTTGTCAACATATTGAATTAAGCTCCATTTATTCTCTTCAAAAAGTTTCCCGGGATCGGAGTAATTTATGAATTATATATAATATATGATACATGATGTTGTGGTTTATTTGCTGATTGGGAACTGAAGTAGGGTTATCAGAGGAGGGGGTGCAGCAGCATGAGAAGGAAGCGGTGGGGAGCGGCGGCGGCGGAGGGGCGTGGGAAGTAGTGGCGGCGGCGGGGCGGGGGGTAAGGCAAAGCAGAGGCGAAGGAAGAGTGTGGGTAAGGCGGCGAGAACGGGTGGGGGGTCGATGGAGGAGGAGTATGAAACGGAGGGGCAGGAGGAGGATGAGGAGGGCGACGGCGGGGGCGGGATAAGCGAGAGGCAGAGGGAGCACCCGTTCATTGTGACGGAGCCGGGGGAGGTGGCCCGTGGGAAAAAGAATGGCTTGGATTATCTGTTCCACTTGTATGAGCAGTGCCGGGAATTCTTGATACAGGTCCAGAACATTGCCAAGGAAAGGGGTGAAAAATGTCCCACCAAGGTTAGTTAGTTTTCTAATGAGTTTTAACACATATACTACACTTCATGAAATTGTGTACACCAATTTTAGCTTATTTGACCACTATTAATTATTTAATTTAGTTAAAATATCAAGTGTTTATTTAATTAGCTTTTTGTAACCCCAAAATGCTAAAACTCAAAAAGTTACTCCAAATAATTTTTTCAGAAAAGAAAGTATACCAAACAGCTATAAGCTAACAGTTAATTTACCAAATACTTTTCTACAACAGTTAATGTTATTAACTAATTAGGACTCTAATTAACACAATCAGCTAACAGCTATTTACCAAATAGAGTTTTTTTCACGTGGATTCCAATAATATTTTTATTTTTTTAATATACTCTTATTATTGTTATTGTTGTTGTTGTATTTAATTGATATTTTTACGGGGCATATAAAATGTGTAGAATCACAGAATAGATGAATAGAAGCATGGTTGGGGTGAGCAGGCCTCGTTAATAGGGTCACAGTAGAAATTAGCTGTCCAGAATAGAAGTTGACAGCTAATGTACGGATTTCTTGGCTGGCTGTAGTATCGCAGCATTGCAGCAATGTACCCTTGGGATTTTGCTCTTCCCTCTCTCCCTTTCTCAATCACTCCCTCCTTTTTGTTTCAGTGCAATAAAAAGGGATAAAGCATACATATTTTATTCTTTAGGCTCAAATATTTGTTTGTTTTGGATATGAGAATTCAAATAAAATGAGTTTTACTAAGAGTTGAAGGTGTTGTTGGTTAATTGAAATTCAGGTAACGAATCAGGTATTTAGATATGCGAAGAAGGCAGGGGCGAGCTACATCAACAAGCCTAAAATGAGGCACTACGTCCACTGCTACGCACTGCATTGCCTTGACGAGGAGGCATCTAATGCATTGAGGCGAGCTTTCAAGGAGAGGGGGGAGAACGTCGGGGCGTGGAGACAGGCCTGTTACAAGCCCCTCGTCGCCATTGCTGCCCTCCAAGCTTGGGATATCGATGCCATCTTCAATGCCCACCCCCGCCTCTCCATCTGGTACGTCCCCACCAAGCTCCGCCAGCTTTGCCACGCAGAACGCAGCAAGGCTTCAGCACCTACCTCCTCCTCTGTTTCGGTTTCCATTCCCGCCACTGCTTGCTCCCACCTCCCGCTCTTCTAATTTTGATTCCGCCCATCTCTTAGCTTGCACCAGCTTTTAGTATATGTTGTTGTATCTTTCCTACTTGACGATGATCGATGCATTGATGCAGCAGTACTCTTTCATTTTCACTCTTGTTTTGCAATGAGGTAGTAGTGTACTAGTGTATTCATCCATCTTTCCATTCCGTTTCAAAAACTACTTGCTCAACTATAGACTCAGAGTTTTCCAACCTTAGAAAAAAGCAACAATATCTCCAAGCACCAGATAGTGTGTGTTCTAGCTTGAAATTCTAAATTACAATATTTTCAAGGAACAAAAAGTATCTGTGACTGGTACAAAACAGAAATGCAGAAAGTGAGAACAATGGCTGTTAGTATATTGCACATGTAAGGATTGTAAATGGAAGTCTGGAAAACATGTTTGGATGTAAAAGGGAAAAGGGCTGTATAGACCAGGAGTAGCGGTGTGTGATACAACTGAGAGTGTGATCAAGATGAGTGAGTTGGATACTTCCACATCACATCAGCCCAGGTGCTATGACCTTCAGTCACCTCCTTAATAACAGATGCCACTTCGTCCACATTAACGCGAATTTGCTGTTTGCTGTCCCTCTCGCGCACAGTTACAGAGGTCGTTGAATCCACAGTAATGGCAAATGGAACTCCGAGCTCATCAGTTCTTGCATACCTTTTCCCTATTGATGTGCCTGCAATGAAAATCTCTCATGAATTAAGGTGCTGAGTTTCCAACTTCATCTAGCTCATGAAATTAGGGTCCCATTTGGAAACAAAGGAAAATGTTTTCTAAAACTGATTTCTGGAGCACAATATTTTGAGCATAACATACACATATAATTCAGGAATATAACATAATTTGACTCTACATTTTCTTAAATATTACAAACAAAAAAAGAGTGAATACTCTTATTCACAATAAAGTTTCATTCTAACAAAATTGGTGAATTTAATAATAACTTAGCATAATATACCAGCCATAGATTGGTTCATAGAGTTTAAGTTTAGGGTGAAAGTCCAACCAATTTTAAGCTTAATTGGTTGTATTGTTAGCTAATTTGCTCTTGTACATTGACAGTGCATTTGAAGTGGAGAGAGAGTGCTGGGGTGAAAACTTTTCTCAAACGAATTCTAATTTGACTTTGGCAAATCTCATATTGATTAAAAATAGAATTCAAATTTAAACTTTTATAGAATAAGATCTTATAAATAATAGTTGAAAAAGAACAATTAATTTCTTCAATCAAAACATCATATATTCATTATTTCTATATTAAAGAATTTTGAGTCATCACCGCTCCTTGAGTAAGAGTCATACTTTTTGAGTGTGTTCCAGACCCATTGAAGAAAAAAAAAAAACTTAATATTTTAATTTTTGGGTTGTAGGCCGAACCAAGATTTTTATTGTCTGGTACAGCCCAACCGAAGCCATATTTAATCGACCATTGATAAATGTAATACATCTAAACTAAAGAAATTTAAATGTTTCTTTAATCTTTTGGGTTATGTGCCAGATAGGGCCAAGAGCCCAACCCAACCAAACCCATATTTTAACCGGACTAGCCAAATCTAGTTCAAATAATGATAAGACATATGGCAGGCCAATCTGCCCGTCTGACACCACTCAAAGGTGGAGAGAGAGAACTGAGTGTGATATAGGAATCCAGAAAATATCTTCTTGAGTAAAAAGCTTGGAAGACATTTTCTATTAATTGCCAAACGAAAATCCGAAAAATGACTTCCCCGGAAGTCATTTTCCGGGTTTCTAAACAGAACCTTAATTATTTATAGTTGCTCTATAATTCTGCAAAGTAGCATCCTAATTAAGTGATAGAGAACGCAACATATTACAAGGTCAGGTGTGCCTACAATCCTAACAATCTCTTATGTCCTAGATAGTGTTTGTTGAAAGTAAACATGGAAGAATAATTGCACACTACCCAAGCTTGCACCCAGACACACTTAAGTCTCTCTCTCACTCACTCTCTCTTTGTTCCAAAAAATATAAAGAGAAGTAAAACAAGTTGTTACAATAACAAGGATGCAAGGATAGAAAGGGAAGTGAGAAAACATCAATAAGAATACCTGTGATGTCGATTTTATATGAAAGCCCAGCAGCAGTTAGTGACCTTGCAATTCGCTTGGCAACTTCCTCATATTCTGCATTTTGCACCAAGGGGAACACAGTGCATTTGATAGGAGCTACCAATGGTGGGAAACGGAAGACGTTGAGCTGTTCATCCCCATCTCGGCTGGGTCTTGTATAGAAAGAATGCTCATAGAGACAGTATATAATCCTCCCAATACCAAACGATGGTTCAATGACTGATGGAGTGAAAACCCTTTGATGTTCCTTTATCTTTTCCTTGGAAATTGACACCATGTTCTTCTTAATAGTCACAACTTTGTCAAGGGTGCAAACCTGAAATTCAGCCTCTCCCTTGGACTCCAAAGTTGCTTTCAATTCCAAAGCTTCTTTTTCCCCCATAGACTACACAAAGCAAAAACAGAACTCATTAATAAGCTTCTCTCACTTTAACGATATATCACTATGTTAAGTCATAGTCTACCTCCAATGCTTCAACCACCATCCTCTGGTTACCCTTAAATGCAAGACCAAGCTCCTTCTTTACTGGAGTAATAACAAGTTTCTGAAGGAAAGTACAAACATTTCAAAGTTGAGTATGAGAATAGTAATGTCACAAAACAAATCCCTGAATACTATTTTGTGTGTGGAAATGAGGAGAGGTGAAGGAGAAAGGGATAGACCTCCACTTCTCTGGGTTCTGGTAGTTTTTCATGTGCAATAAGAGATACACCACTTTTGTCCTGCAAGATTGGAGAAAGTTACAATTTAGAAAATAATTCACAGCAATCTAGTAAAATATTAATGCATAATGAGTGCGAAGGGAGTATGGAGGACTAAATTAAAACTTGCAGGATTTAGAAGCAGGAGAGGCTAGCTGCCAGCTCAAACTCAATGCTTAAAATAGGAGAAAAAGAACAGGTATTTTAACGGAAGCCTCACCGTATGTGCACGCAAATCATATGCAGATCTATCAGCAATACCAACACATTCTATCCAGCCATAAGAACATTCAATTTCAGCATCCCAACAGTCTGCAGCATAATGTGCCATCTCATTTTGAAGATGTTGACGGAACCGCAATCGATCTCTGTCAATACCCAGATGAGTAAGAAAGACATAAACTCTCCCAATGAAATATCCCAGTGTTTCATTGTTAATGGTTCCCTGTGCAACAGAGTGATTAAACAATGTCAGTATTGAGAACAAAACTAAAATACCACTCTCTCTATCCAGAACTATAGACACAAGATTGACACCATTAACCAACCTGGGCAACTGCTTCACCAAGTGGTATTTTCCTTGCAGAGCGTCCAGACACCTGATCCTCTCTTGGGAACATCAGAAACTCCAATTTTGAAACATCAGAAAATTTTGGATGAGACTTGTCCTCTGGATCCACAAAGTGCTCAATCTCAGCTAGTGTAAATTCACGGACTCTTAAGAGGCCTTGTCGTGGGGAGATCTGCAATTTTCATTATTATTATAGAGTAATAATCATTGCAAAAGCAGAATAAAGAAAAAATAGGGGAAGCAACAGGAATTCAGGAAATGGCATTTGTTGGATTAATTTCTTTAATAAATACTATAATTGAATATTCACAAAGAACTGAATACTTGAAAGCTTCTAAAAGACTACAAATATTAAGTTGCATTTATTTCAATTCGGTTTTCCTTTCTCTGGTTTTCCATTCTCAATTCTCTGTTTCCAAATTGGATAAATATACAAGTAAACGCATTTTCCATTTTCCTTTCCCCAGTTATCAATTCCCCCAAAAAAAATGGTGAATTTCTCAAGTTAATAAATGCACCTTAATCTCTCATAATTATGTATACTACTATACTGCTATATGCAAATGTTTGAAAATCAAAGAACTCATCTACATTGTTCTTTCTTTTTTATGTTCTTTTCATCAAAGCAAATACAGAATAAAAAGGAGCAACCATTATAGCAATTCACTGCAACAATATAAAAATAGTCTTTTCAGATTTTAATAACAAATTTCATGTTACCACATTACAATTACTTAACTATTTATCTAATTTTGCTTTGAATAGATTCTACAAATGACAAGTTGTGATGCAAAAGCATTTAAGGGGAAATGAGAAAAACCTCATTCCTAAAAGCTTGACCAATCTGTGCAGCAGCAAAAGGAAGTTTGCTTCCATTGTAATAGTACAGATCCTTGAAGTTGACAAAAATGCCTTGAGCTGTCTCAGGACGCAAGTACCTAAGGCAGGAATTCAAATGATCAAAATATGGAAAAGAGTTTACTGTAGACTACAAATGTTAAATCAATGGATTAGGACATTCCTTTATTAGGATGCTCAAGATGAAGTTCTTACCCAGGGCTCAAGCCAGATGGCCCAATTGAAGTTTGGAACATTAGATTGAAAGGATATGGAGCGGAGAGAGGGTTCTTGGTATCTGGAGCAGTAATACCATAGTCCTTAATTTTTGCACCAAGCTCTTCAGCAGAGAGATCATCCAACACAGCAAGTACATGCCTGTACTCTGCTACTTTATCAGCAGGAAGATTAGGATCTCTCTCAAGCTTCTCGTTGCAAAAATCCTTGAGCAAATGATCAGCACGATAACAAACTCCAGTCTTTTCATCTTTCACCATGAGATCAGTGAACTTCTCAACATGGCCAGATGCCTTGAGCACAACCTCTGGTGTTACACATGGGCAATCCACTTCAAGCATGTTCTCTTCAAGAACAAAATGCTGAAACATCAAACAAGAGGGTAAGAGACTAGGAGAAAGTACAAAAAAGGAAGCACAAAAAGAGAGATAAGACAAAGCATGAAACTATCCCAACCAAACTTCCAAGTCACTTTCTTCTATCTGATGCTGAATTTCAAAATACAAAATCTATAACATCATTTGAAATTCGCAATACACTATATAGAAATG